ATCAGTTCTTGGACCCCTGTTGTCCCTATTTGTGATTGGATACACTGATAAAGATATTAATACTCCAGAGAAATATAATTCATAAATGAAGAAGACAAACTAAGAGTATCTACAGCCATTTGCAAAAGTTTAAGTAAAAGCAAAATTGATGCAGTCCAACTGGAAGCCCAAGATGAAGATCATATACTGTGGAAAGAAAAAATGGTTGCTAAAGACTTTTTCTAATGAGTAATGACATGTTTCAGTCATCTCACTGAGCAGGCAGTCAATATAGGAAAAGTTGGGCGTGCATGAATGATGTGGACTTTTCAGACGAGATCCAGACGATGGAAACTACTGATTACAAGATTGGAATATTAAAGTCAAATATGGAATCCAAGTCTTACAAAAGATATATCTAAGGGACAGACTCAACAAGAGAGAGAGAGAAGAGAGAGAGAGAGAGAGAGAGAGAGGAGAGAGAGAGAGGAGAGAGAGAGAGAGAGAGAGAGAGAGAGAGAGAGAGAGAAAGAAAGAAAGAAAGAAAGAAAGAAAGAAAGAAAGAAAGAAAGAAAAAAAAGGGAACTAATGAAATTTTACATAAACAACAAAATGGATCATGGCTAAATTCTTTCCACTTGTATCACTGAACTACCATTTCTTTTCCTTCAAGTCTAAACTTATCTGTAATATTGTCTCTTAACAGGATTGGTAGCGAGTCAGTGCCTAGATTCAGCCTCTGTTTCATGGTTGCTAACTTTACCTAGTCTAAGGTTGATTTGTCATTTGGGTCTATTCTATTTGTTAGTTCTCGTAGAGCCAAGAGTCATTTTTTTCCATTTTTTAACAATTCAAATAGATTTTTACTTGTAGTTCTTACTTTGTCAGTCTAAAATCTAAATTTTGGGTGCCTTAAAGTTTCCTATGATTAGTCTGTATTTATCTCTGCTCAACATAGCATTAAAACTTATATTACACAATTACTGCACAGCTTATAGAACAGCATATCTAACCACTTATTTCTCTAATTTATTTCTATTTTGAATGTTTCTACTTTATTGTTAAAGTTATCCCTCAGATCTATTACTCCAAACTGTATTCCATTTCTGATCTAGAAAGTTATGCCCCTACCCTTTTTTCCAGCATCCCAGATTATTTTAATATTGCTTTTTTTCCTTCCTTTCAAGATTTGCAATAGTATTTCTATTTATACTGGAAAACTAATTCTATATGAGCAACCTATAAATCTATTAGATCTAAGCTATTTGCATCTGACCTTCCAGTCGCCAATATGTTCTGTTAACTGACTGACTTTTGTTACGCCATCTACCTCAAATCTTACGGCGTTTCCCTTTCCGAGGAATGTTATACAAAACCAATTTGTTGCTTTGTTAGTCTTTTTGAATTATCAGAATCTGAGAGATGAATCCCTTTTTTCCCTTTTTAGTTGTATAAGGACTACCATAAGGTTTAGCTTTGCTTGCTTACCTCTTGTGTAGTTGTCTTTGTTGATCAGCTGAGGTGTTGTCAGCTCTAGTTTCACTAGGGAAGCTCATTTTTTTATTTCCAGTTGCTTTGAAGGGTCTATGAAATGGGCTCGTCTCTTTAGTCACTGCTTATGCCTCCTTCTCTTTGGTCGTCTCTGCCAAAGGCTGAAACAGGGGCTTCATTTGGATTAATGAATTAATCAATCAAGTGATAAATGAAATAAAATAAATTCAGCTTAATGAAATTCATGCTATTTTTATCCTTGACATCTATATTAATAGGACCTCATGATTAACTGTATCAACTTTTTTTCAAGGTTTATACAACAGGCTAATAATGCACATCTATTTTTTATTGTATCATTTACATGCAAGTCTAGGACATCTACTGAATCTATTGTACTTTAATTTGGTCTGAATCCTGCTAGATCTCCATCTAGTTTATTGTTTATATAATGCCCAAAAAGAAAGGCATAATCATCACACATTTATTTTCATCCACCAAATGAATCTTGGCGAAGCTAGAACCACATCCAATGCTGTTCATTTTGCTCTTTAGGGGCCTGTTAGCCCTGGTGTTCAAAATGTTTAATGTTTGAAACAAATAAATGTGCTAGACATCAAAGGTCATACAGCACTATGGTAAACTAATGTGTCGGAAAGAGTTAAGAGGAGTTAAAGATTAGGATAGAAGTGTGTTAGATGTCAAAGATCAGAGAGGATTATAGGATAGTATGGAAGTGAAAAGGCAAAAATGGGGAGTAAGTGAACTAGAGCAGAGATTAGTAGAAAGGGGAGGGTTAAGGCAGTAGGGCAAGTGAGTGAATTATAGTGTATCTGTCACTGGGGAAGGTATAGGAACAATGTTTAAGGAAAATAGAGATTGCTATTGGAAACGTAAAAGAATCTGGGGAGGGGAAGGTGTCAAATTTTAGAGGGTATTATAGGAAAGTATGGTAACAAAAAGGGAAAAGAGAGAAGTTAATGAAGTAGAACAGGGATTAATAAAATGGGAAAGGTTAAGGGGATAGAGCAATTGAGTGAACTGCATTGTATCTGTGACTGGGGAAGGAACAGGGACATTGTTCAAGGAAAACAGAAATGGCTGTTGGAGACGTAGTAGGAGAAGAATGCAGGGGATGAGAAAGGGGGACTGGGGAAGGTGGTGAAATATCAGGAAGAATGTCTGGAGGGGAAGGGTCTGGAGAATGATACTGTTGTGATGGGATTCATGTGAGTATTCAAGTGGGAGTGGTACAGGTGCTCATAGCTCCCGGAGGCCGTTCATGACTGACACAGAGCCAGCCCTTCATTTCAGCATAGCTCTCACACCTTAGAAATGGAATAGAAGGGGATGAAGAAGATACAGAAGAGGAAAGAAGAGAAGAAAAGACCAAGCAAAATTAGTTGAGGCGAGGGCTGAGGCTCAGGGTAGGGGGGATCCCCTACATTGGTCTTGTATCCGTCTCCTAAGCCCTCCCATGACAACAACGAGCAGTATTGGGTGGGTTGTTCCATATTTCATTCGATCTAGAGGTCCTGCTTTGACTTTAACTTCAAATCTAATAGCTTTTCCTGCACGTAATAGTCTTCAATAATATATTTTTGAAAATCTGACGAATTCAATGAATCAGTTAATACTATGGCATTCTTGAATTTGAATGTTTTCTTACCATAAGCTTAGCTAATGAGTACTTTAGTTTATTTTACTTGCCTGTTTACCGTTGGGTCCTCGGTTGCAGTTGCATGGGCTGGAGTCTTTCTCTTAGTCTCTTATTCGATTAGGAATCATAAATCATATTTCTAAAGTTCTAGGTTTTTTTCTTCTGTCTTCTTTTATAGGGTTTTAGATTTTTAAAAAGTTTATAGCCACTGGATCTTCTTTCTTTTCTTTTCTTTCTTTTATATAATCTCTATTAGTCTATTTTTTTCTCGAGAAGATTTTGGTACGTCTTAGGATATAGTACTTTTTTATTGGCAAAAGATCCACACCTGGGAATAATTCTACGTCAGGGTTTCTTTCAACTTCGTTCTGCTAAAATGAAATCTTGGACACAGTAGTATTATACATTCTATGTTTTCCTCTTGGTTATGACACCATCTACAGAGAGGGTCGTTTTTATTTTCATTTTATATAGGTGCTAGTTTAGTCTTGTGTGGGTTGTTTTGATTCTTGTTATACAGACAGCTAGTTTTCCGATTTTTGATCTTGTCCATGGCTCAGGTTCTGTACTTTTCAAGTGGTAGCTCTTTGTGTTATGGCTTGTCTTTAGTTGTGTTTTCCAGTTCTTTTAATTTATTTATTCTTATCTGTTTAATATCTTTTTGTATGTCCTCATGTATGGTTATGGGATTTCTTGTATTATGTGATCTTATTTCTGCTTCGTCAGCTATTTCATTACCTCTTATGTTTTTATGTGACGGTATCCACTGTAATTAAAATGTATATGTTTTTGGTTTACTAGCATGTATTTCACTGTTTGTATTTCAAATAGTATGTGTTTATATTTTTTTTGGCTTCAAGTTAGATATTAAATGTAGTGCGGATTATAAATCTGAAAATATTACAGATTTTGGTAATCTGTTGTTTTGGATATATATTAGTCCTTGTATTATTGCAAAAAGTTCTGCTTCTACTACTTCTGCGTCATCTGGTAATTTCCAATTCTCATCTTGAATGTATATTGCTGCAGAAGTGGAATTTGTGTTAAGTTTTGAACCATCTAAGAATAATTTTTATGGTTTAGATATCTTGTGTTTTCCGTTATCATAAATTGTGATTTTATTATTTGTTCTGGGGCATTCTTTGTTAGCTCATCTAAAAATTTTGTTTCTATATTTTTTGTAAATGTCAAACCATGTTTAGGAGTTATGTTTGGCAAAGTTTTTGTTTTATAGTTATGTTTCTAAGACTCTGTGAAGTAAGCTTTTATTTTTTGGGTGGTTATATTCTTATTTACTTATTTTTTTCATACGAGTATTTTTTTCTAGTATTTTTAACATTTGGGTATACTCTTGTTCTTTTAGTTTATTTCTGATAGGCATCTTATTTGTTAGAGCATATAATGCAGCTACTGGGGTGGTTTTTAAGCAGCCTGTGGCTTTTCTCAAAGCATTATTTTGTATAATTTCTTTTTTTTCTGTTTTATCAGCTATACCAAAGATTGATAAACCATATTCTATTTTAAGTTTTATGTAAATGTCAAAGAACTTTATCATTTTCTCTTTTAGATACCCACGTTTTTGAAGACATTCTTTTTTCATTATATTTATTCTGTTTGAGCATTTGACTTTTAAATTATTAATGTGGTATTTCCAAGTTAGTTTAGGAGCATCAAATTTTAGACCTAGCATTGTGTGGTTCGTTGTGAATTTGAGTTTTTCTTTATTTCTTATTTCTGGTATCTGTCTTCTTCTTCTTCTTCTTCTTCTTCTTCTTCTTCTTCTTCTTCTTCTTTTTTGTAAAACACATGACTTTTTATTAGGTTTATTGTTAACTCCTAATTACTAGCCCATTCTCCAATTTGTTTTATCCCTAAGTTGTTTTTAGCTTCTGCTAGATTTTTATGGGTTGTTATCTGCATATATTACTTCTTTTTTTTTCTGTATGGGTTAGATCTGTTGAAATGATGTTGAGGAACAAAGGACTTAAAGGCGAATCTTGTGGTAGTCCTCTTGTTATTTATCCTACTGCAGACATTTCCTACTGTTATTTGTCAATTAAGAAGCTATGAATCCATATGAGCAGGGTGCCCGTTATTCCTGGTTTTGCTGCGTTTATTCCAATTGCGTCTTGGCTGACTGTATCAAATGCCTTCTCTAAATCTAGGCAAGCAATCAGTGCATATTTTCTCTCTTCGGAGGCCTTGCTAATATGAAAGTTGATTATGTGTAGTGTGTCTCTTGTTGGACTATTTGGTCTAAAGCTTGTCAAGTCTTCACTTAGTTTATTGTTACATTCTAACCACCAGATTAATCTATCATTTATTATGCTTTCAAATATTTTACCAATGCATGATATTCTGCTTATAATTCTGTCGGATTTTTGTCAGTTGGTCTTTACCTGGCTTAAGTATTGGACTTACTAATGATTTTTTTAATTTTGGGGGATATTCTCCTTTTAACCAGTAATGGTTAATCAAATTTAGTATTTTCTAACAGTTTATTTGGGGCATTTTTGAAAAATTCATATGGAATTTTATCTGCTCCATAGGCTTTACCATTTTTGGCATTTTTTATTATTGAGATTAATTCTTTTACTGGGAGTTTTTTACTTTATCCTTTTGTGCTTGGTAGATCTGCTATATCTTTTAACTGTGTGTCATCAAGCATTTAGTTTTAATGTTTATTATTCCTTGAAATTCTTCAGTTGGCAGTTCGTTTGTTTAGTTTCTTGGACCATTTGATTGTTATGGATTAGCTGATAATTACCAATTTTATTACTACCAGCAAATTTTAAAATGATATTCCTGATACTTCTGGCTGGCGTATTTAATGTCAAGGGATAAGCAGATATTTGGCCAGTCATTTCCTTTTCCTGTCTCTATTATGTTTCTTGACATAATTTAGTGTTTTGTATTCAATTGTTTTTTTCATTTGTTTTCTTCATTTGTTAAATGCTTTATTTCTTAGTTTGACGATTTCTTTGCATTTTTGGTTCCACCAGGGATTACATGGCTTACTTCTAATAAAATAATTGTCTAACTCTAATTTTTTTTCCTCTACATTTTAATAGTTCAGTTATTTCTTTTAATGAACTTGTTGATATCTATGTTACACAATTTGTTAAAGTTCCATTTTTGTTCCTTAACTTGAGTTCCTATGTTGAGGCTGTTATCTTTTATTATGACTGAGATATTGTCACTTCCTTCATTTATGTTTGTTTTTAATTTTAAGTGACAATTCTGGGGTACCAAGGATTAAATCTATAGTAGTTCCTTTTCCTGTTTTGGGGTCTATTCTGGCAATTTGTCCCGTAGGAGTTAGCAATATTTAGTTATTTTGATTTATCAAAATGAATAAGTTTATCCTGGTGATGTTTGTTGTTTCTATAAAGGATGGTGAGCACTTAAGTCTCCTGTTATCAGTTTTATTTATTTTCTAGTTGAATGTAATGTTCTATTTCTTGTTGATCTATATTATTGCATGGGTTATAGATTAGTAGTAAATCTAACTTTTTTTGTAGCTAATCTTTATAGCTAATGTTTCTATTTTACCATTTTGTATTTCATTTAGATTTATCTCTTTATATTTTTATATTGTAGACTGTTCTGTATACATATTGCTAGGCCTCCACCCCTTTGTTCTGCTCTATCTTTTCTTATTATATCATAATCTTTTGTTTCAAAGTTATTGTTTTTAGTGAGCCATGTTTTGCAGATAGCAAATACCTCTTGGGTTTTCATTGTCTATTAGGTATTCTTTATCTTTATTTATGTTCATTACTGATCTGGCATCCCAGAGGATTAATTTATTCATTAATCCATTCAAAAATTTCTTTTATGATTGGAGTAGCTTCTGGTATTTCTGTATTTCAAATATTGATTTATCAGATTTTAAATTTGTGGTTACATTTGATATTAATTTGAGTATATCTTTTGTAATTCCTACCCAAGATGGGTTTTTTTCATCTTCGTTTTTTCCTTTTTTTTTGTCGGGGTCTTATGTAATGGCGTTGGGAGTGTCTATGTTACTGGGGACTTTACGTTTTCCTTGTCTTTTGAGTTTTGTTCATGTGTGTGTGTTTGCTCCTTTTTACGGGATTGTTTTTATGTTTTGGTTTCACTGATGGGTTTGGTGTATCTTCTATTCTGTTTGGGTTGTTTTTTTTTTTGTTTTGTGGGTGTTTTCTGTGCTGGTGTTATGTTGTTTGTTTGTGTCGATATTTGAGGAAATGTTTGTGTTCTGTTTGGGTTTGTTTGTTGTGTAGTGTTTGTGTTGTCATCTGTGTGTTGGACATATTCTGCATCGGTGTTGTGTATCTCAGCTGTGGTTATTATCATGTTTTTGTGTAGTGATTTGATTTTTATGTTGTATGGTTTAACTGATGGAATTTTTTTTGTTTTTTTTTTTTACAAGTTATTTGGTGTTGCGTTGTTTTTGTTTATGTCTTGAGCTTTTAAATATGTTGGACATGTTTTGTCATAAGCTGAATGGTTACCTTCGAATAAAAACAGTGAGAGAGGTTTGGCCAGCCTTTAAATTTGTGATCCTGTTGGCTGCAATTACTACATCTGATTTTGTTTTTGCAAGAAATGATCCCATGACCATACATGAGGCATTTATAACATTTTGAGATGGGAAATGTATACTGGAAAATCTTAAATATGTGCTATGGCTCTTTTGGTGGGCAATGGACCTCTAAAAGTTAATTTTAAAGACTTTGTTGGTACCCATTTGTTTTCTCCAGCTACTTTGTTTAGTTTGCTTATTCTTACCATTTCTTTAATTTGTGTATCTGGTCCCCAAAAGACTTTGAATTTTTCTTTTATTTCATTTATGTCTATATCTAAGTATACTGGGGTTAACGTACCATATGAGCAACCTTGGTTTTTGTTTGATGCTGGTTGCTTTCATACGACTTCCCAGTTACCAAGGTATCTTATTTCACTCAGAGGTCCTATTCTATTCAAATCAATTACTTCAAATCTAAAAGCTTTTCCACATCCTAGAATCCTTAGGGAATTTTCAATTGTGTATTTCTGGTAAATGGATTTATTTATTGCCTCTGTTAATTCTACTGGGTGGTTGAGGTTTGATGTAATTTGTTAGTCAACTGAATCAGTATTACGTTTTCTTGAGAGGTACCTTACAGTTTTAGATGCACTGGGCGGGATGTTCTGTGGTCTGTCATGGTCTGTCAACCGGTTTCTTCCCTTCGTGCTTGTCTGGAGTGTGGGTTATCTTCGCTGTTGCTGTCTCTCCGTCTGCTGTTCTATTGCTTTTACCAAGTTCATCACCTGGATCTAGATCATGGCTGGAATTCATAAGCTTTCACTTCATTTCACTTGAGTACGGGAATATGTAAAGATTGGCCGCTCTATTACTCACGTTGTCCACTCTGCAGAGTCTCGAAATGTCAAGTTCTTTCATTTCAGCGTCCATCGATTATGCTTATGATTCCTGCATTTAAAAGGTCAAGGTCAAGTTTGTGTCTCGCGATTGTGCCTATATTTCCAGCACTCGAAATTCCAAGAGTGACCCCGGGGGCGTGTCTGCTCCTTCCTCGCTTCCGACCGCGACTAATGTAAACAGAGAAGGTAAACAAACGCACGTGGTTTGCGGCGCACTGCGCATGCGTCACACTATCATCTGCACAATCTTCTTGGTGTCTGGTTGTCTTCTTAAAGTTTCGGTGTCCCCGTTCGGTATCCTTATCCTTCTCCTATCCCCACTCTTCCTCCCCCCCTCTTCTTTACAAACTTCAACTTCACAGTTCGGTGTCATTCCGATTCGCGAAGTGTTCGAACGAGCACGGGTTCCTTCACTCAGTGGGTTCAGGTCAAGAAGTGCATCCAACATGTCTCATTCGCGTCTGGCCCCAGGCGGTGATAACGGTGATAATCGCCCGCGCAAGCAATGTAAGCATGCTGACCCAGGGCGGCCAGATCTATTGTGCTTTCATTCTCTTAGGCAGAATGTGGCTCCGTCTAGCATAATTACGTATACATAGGCGCCGCGCTTCTTAAAAGGATGAACAATGCCGATTCCGTATTCAAACCTGTAATTCCTCGCATTTCCTTCCTAGATCGAAATGAAAAACCTGTGTATTACATTTTGCAGTCTCAGACATGTTATAGAATCGTAAGACAAACTGTTTATAGTTGTGTTGTTACTCCCTTCTCTCTCTCTCATTCTCTCCTACCTCATCTCTCCGCCTTATCCTTTCCCTCATTTATATCCGTTTCTATGTATGCGGATTCGGATGTAGCTATGCAGGTAAATGTACATGTATGGCTGTCTCTTTCTCTGATGAATAACTGTCCCTTGTTCTCTCTAACAGTCATTGTACCTCAATATATGTTTTTGGTTACAAGGGACAAAGCTGGTATGAGCGTTGTTTTAGATATTATTATTGTGATTACCATTCTCAATATTACAATTGTTATGATTTTATTTTGCTGTTATAATTATCATCGTTATTTTTATACTGTTATTATTTATCTGTCTCTATCTATCTATCTGCCTGTCTGTATCTCTCACTTACTCTGTCTTCTCCCTCTCTCTAGTTCTCTCGCTTCCTCTCCTTATTAAACTTCCTCTGTCTCCCTCCCTTCCTCCCTTTTTGCCTCCCTCTTTCATTCTCTGTCTCTCTATCTATCTTCTCCCTCTCTCTAGTTCTTTCCATTCCTCTCCTTATTAAACTTCCTCTGTGTTTCTCCCTCCCTTCCTCCCTCTTTGCCTCTCTCTCTCATTCTCTCTCTCTCTCTCTCTCTCTCTNGGAGAGAGAGAGAGGGAGAGACGGAGAGCAGGAACGACCAGTGTTTACTCGACACCCCAATTGATGTTTGCCGTTGCGTTGTTCGTGTGGAGAC